TCTAAAATAAACACCAAAACATCACAGTATAGAATGGAACTATCAGTGCTATGTCAGGACCTGGTGAGCAAGTCTTTTATTCAATCACTGGAGGCCATATCTGTCAACTTTTCCCTTTTCTTGCGAGGAATCCTATTCAGAATAAGGGAATGCTGGAGGCAGCAAAAAGGCATCTGTGATGGTCAATGTCTCTCACTTCAACAAAAGCAGGCAAATACATGGCTCATAGCCATAAGAGATTTATACTAGTATATGTTATCCCTGCACGACTTCCTAAAAATAAGACATTTTCTCCTTGACGCACAAGTTCTAGCTACATAGAAATGTCAAACCCTTTAAATTCATGTTTCGTTTAGGAGAACAGAGAATTTCCCAAGAAAAATAGATCATAAATAGCAGAATGCTTAAAAATTGCTTTAAAAATATGCTCAATAGTCAAATCTATGACACACAGCTCTACTTCTCATTTACATCTGCAGATGTGGAGTGGATGTGCTGGACAGTTGTGGTCTCAACTGTGCCCAGCTGTTGCCCCGATCCGGACACTATGTTCTGGTAACCTCTAAGGCTGGGCGATATCTGGTTTTCAACCAGCTAAACATCACTATATACTGATGTATCACTCTATATGAATTAAGGACGGAGCTATGTAGAGGCATTGGCTGGCTTCATGGTTTTTCCCACATTGTGATTTTTGCACAGAACAGCACAGCACGCACGCACACGATTCGCAAGGTCAAAAATTATGAAAGTGATATCATGATATAGATTTCAAACTGGTTTCAGACCTATATCAATATATTGCCAAGCCCTAGTACAGTGTTTCCCAACCACTGTTCCGCGGCACACTAGTGTGCCGCGAGATGTTGCCTGGTGTGCCGCGGGAAAAATTAAAAAATTGAAAGATTTTTTTTTTTAAAGTCAAATTTTCGATTGGGGCGCCGTCACTAGATGACCCCTGGGGTTCCCTCCCTCCCTCCCGCTCTGCGCCTCCCTCCTCCTCCTCCTCCTCCGGGGAGGCCCTTCCTGGCTCTCGGCCAAGGCTTGGCGGCTGCCACTCACTCACTCGCTCGCCCACCCGTCCCTCCATCCCTGCACCCGGCCTCTCCCCCTCCGTCCCCGGCGCGGGGGCTGCCGGGATCCGTAGTCCCCTCGCCCTTGGGCTCCGCGCCCGCGCGGGGTGCGCAAACTACGTTTCCCAGCGTGGCCTGGCGGGCCGGGCGTTTTGTTTGAAGCGCTCTTCTCCCGGCCATGGAATGAGCGCAGCGGCGGCGGCCGGGCGGGCAGGGGCTCTTCCGCGCAGACCCCGCGCAGCCTGCCTGCGCCCCCGCGGAGATCGGGCGGCAGGATGGAGCCCGGGGATCCCCGCGGAGGCGGAGCGGCGGAGGCGGAGGCTGCCCCCCAGGTAGGGCTGCGTCGGGGTTTTTTTATTTTTGCAATGCTGCATCCGCGCCGGAGGGGACGCATCGGACCGCGGGGAGACCCCTTGGCGGGCATGCAAGGCAATGCATGCGTGCAGGCGTTGCATGGAGTGCAGTGCAATGCAATGGCAACGCGGCGCCCTGCATGCATGCATGCAACTTCCACCGGCGCTCCGGACTTGGCAGGTGAGGGGGGTCCCCAGTGGGCGGCAGAGAGAGCCGGGAGGGCGAAGGGGAGCCGGGGGGGAGCAGCGCTGCTCCCCGAGCCGAGCCCGGGGGGAAACTTCGGCGTCGTTGCGCCGGGTGTTGGAATTTCGTGCATTGCATTCATCGCCCGCTTTCTCCTCCAAGGAGCTCCCGGGGGCACGCGTGGTTCTCCCCGTGTTATCCTCGCAACAACAGCCCTGCGAGGTGGGTCAGGCGAGTGGCCCAAGGGAGCACCCAGGGATTGTCCTGGCCAGGTGGGGTGATTTGAACCCTGCTCTCTGCCCGGTCTTCGTCCTCATTTAGCCCCCACATGTGCATGACTGTGCATGACTGAGGTTTTCCCCCCTCGTCTTGGCTATGGTGTGAGTCTGTGCTGTTAATTAATGGGGTTCTGCCTTCGGAGAAGATGAGCCAGCCCTCAAGGAGGTGATTATGTAATTTGCTAGCAATTCATGTCCCTCCCGGCGTGACGCTGCGCGCTGACGTCACGGGGCTGTAATGGTGGTGTGCCTCGAGATTTTTTTCATGAAACAAGTGTGCCTTTGCCCAAAAAAGGTTGGGAAACACTGCCCTAGTAAGCTCTAAGGGACGCAGGTGATGCTGTGGTCTAAACCACTGAGCCTAGGGCTTGCTGATCAGAAGGTTGGCAGTTCGAATCCCCGTGATGGGGTGAGCTCCCGTTGCTTGGTCCCAGATCCTGCCAACCTAGCAGTTTGAAAGCACATCAAAGTGCCGCAAGTAGATAAATAGGTACTTCTTCGGCAGGAAAGTAAATGGTGTTTCCGTGCACTGCTCTGGTTTCACCAGAAGCGTCTTAGTCATGCTGTCCACATGACCTGGAAAAACTGTCTGCGGACAAACGCTGGCTCCCTCGGACAAGCGCCGCAACCCAAGAGTCATATTCACGACTGCACTTAACTGTCAGGGGTCCTTTACCTTTTTAGTAACCTCTAGGTTAGATTACTGCAACACATTGTACAAGGGTCTGCCTCTGAAGAGGTTCAGAAACTTCAGGAGGTGCAGAATTCAGCAGCAAGGTTGCTCACCAAGGCAAGGCAGTTTGAGCATATCACACCAATCCTGGCTCGACTGCGCTGGCTACCAATTAGTTTCCAGGCCCAGTTCAAAATGTTGGTTTTGATGTATTGTCCCAAATGGCTCAGGACCACAATATCTCAAGGACTGCCTCTCTGCATATGTATAGACCTGGACCCTGCAATCATCACCTGAGTCCCTTCTTCACGTGCTTCCTCCAATAGAGGTCCAGAGGACAGCAACACAAGAGCAGCCCTTTTCTGCAGTGGCTCCCCATGTGTGGAATGCTCCCAGGGATTACATATAGTTAGGCATCAGGCGAAAACATTCCTCTTCACCCAGGCCTTGGGCAGATTAAATAATCTATGGCCTTTTAAACTTGGGCGGGGGAGTGGTTTATTGTTTTGTTATTATGTTACATATTTTTGTGTTTTTATACTGTAAACTGCCCTGTGGTCCTCAGATGAAGGGCAGTACAGAAACCCTACTTTTAGACAAACTTCCCCCGCCCCCCTGTCACGGATAAATGCAACAAATTTGATGAACAAAACTATTTCAGGCCTTTTCCACTCTGTAATGTGTTCCAACGGTGAGAAATAAATAGTTCACGGCATGAAAATCATACCAGGGCCTAATCAGTTTTCAACTAGAGGAAATCCAGTGTCTTCTTGAATACTTTGATTTCTAAGAAAACACTGCTGAAATGTAGAACAGCTCACTAGCTAATGATGATAAGACACTCTACGATGGAATGCTTAAAAGAAGTGGTGCCATTACATTACAGGTAGCTGATTTTTCATTTTAAAACTGAATGGTGTTTTCTCATACTAAAGAAAGTTTCAAGATCAAAACAAAAGAAACCCAAATTTCCTATTTACATAGCCCTTCCCTACAGGATGCTTCTAAAAGGAAATCTCTCTCCTACACCCTGCTTACAAGTCATTTCAGAAGAATAAATCAAATACTGTGTGCAGCAACCTCAGCTTTGCTTAGCAGCTTCATATCTCCAGACTGCATGAATGATGAACAAAACAAAACAAAATCTCATAGGGAAACCAGATATTAGAAGAGGGGACTAAGTTCACATCCTATACAGCCATGAGGCTCCCCAGATAAGTAGGGTAACCCTCCCCCGCAGGACTTTAATGATAATGAGATATTCCCAACACCCAAGCAACTTGGAAGATAGTAAGGTGATAAAAAGTATGGACAAATAGCTAAACTATCCATTCTGAACAACTTTTTACCCTACTTACCAAACTTTATTCATAAGACAAGATGCACATAAGACAAGATGCTCAGACACACTCCCCTCCGAACTGGAAACCTTCATCCGAAATCTAAACCCAAACAGGGACTAGTTCCTGCTTCTTAATGGTAGACAGTGACATTGTATTGAGAGTGGAGGCTGGCTTTAAATTAAGCCTTAACTATTTGTAAATACATATCAACAAGCTCTATCCTTATTCAACCTTAGTACTCTGTCTTCCACAGAACATCAAGTTTTCATTTCATTTTCATACTGCTTTCAAGCACCCACAAACTACCTGTATGCAGAAAATATGAACATTACAGAAGGAGATATGGTACAGCCCTTTCCATAGTTTTCTGGGAGCAGAAAAGTTTTTAACGTGAATTAAATAAGACTGCATCATAGAATCAGAAGTGTAGTTATTTCTATTTTATTATTTATTGAATTTATATGCCGCCCTACACCCACAGGTCTCAGGACGGTTCACAGGATAAAATCAGAGTATAAAACCACAAAGTACTCAATCAAAATAAACAACCCAATAAATCAACCCCCCCCAAAAAAACCACATTTTAAAAGGGCCCAGGAATCTCAACTAGATCATACATGCCAGATGGCCACCCAACCTCTCCTTAGCTCAAGAAGCCCATCATCTCAAAACACGCCTCAAACAGCTCGTCTGAAATCTCAATCAAGGTCCACGCGTGCTACAGTAACAATGCAACGCTTGTGGGTAAAATCCATCCCGCTGCCATTCCGCCTGAGCGCGCCTTAGAGAAGAGGGAACGATCTCCACGCTTCCTGCACGTGCCAGAGAGAACTGTGCAGCTACCTTTCTGCGTGCAGGGACTGACCCCCCCCACTCCTCGCGCGCGCTTTTAACCTGAAGTGGTACACCCGAGAGAGCTACGTTGCCTCAGGACTGTACTCCCTCAAGCCCCGCTGCATGTGGAGAGAGTCGCTCTCCAGCATCGCCATCCCCGGGGCCTGCCGTGAGGATAGGGAGGGAGGCGAGAGATGCCCCGCTGCTGCCCGCTCCCTCGTCGCCGGGCCGCCCCCTCCCCCGTCCGCTTCAGCTCCCTCACCTGCCGGGCGCGCTGGACCGCGTCGGCGAAGGCGTCCTTGCGGATCCCGCCAGGTCCGGGACCCGCCGCTCCGCCGGCCGGGCCGGCCCCGCCGGCGCCCCCTTGGTTGGGCGGCCCGGCTCCCCCACCGGCGCCCGGCGGCCCAGCTGAGGGCGGCGGCGGCCCGCCGGCGTTATAGTCCGACATGGCGGCGGAGACGGAGCGGGGCACCGAAGGCTCAACACGGGAAGCAGGCCGAGCACTCTGCCCGTCTCCCTCACCACACACTCACAGACACACGTCCGCGCTGCACGCTGGGAACGCGAGGCGGGACTACAACCCGTTGCCCTCCGACCTCTCCTCGGAGGACCAATCGTTTAGGGGCTCCGGGTGACTGGCATAGCAAACGGCCAGTGGGTACAAAAGGAAACAGGCGGCCTCAACGCCCGGCCAATTACAAGCTAAGAGGAGGCGGGCACTGCAGCTTGAGTGCCAGGGTGCTCCTCCAGTGGCGAGCGAGGGGAGGAGCGTGCTATGTGGTTTGCGACCTATTAGAGAATGGCAGGGGCGGGGTGAGAAGCCGTCCTTGGACCAATCAGGGAGGCAAGGTCGCTAAACCTCAAGCCCCTCCATTGGAGAAACGGAGAGTACGTCATGTGGCAGAATGCGCTGGTTTCAGCCAAAGCGACGACCGGGTTCTGCCTCAGAGGTTGGGGGTTGAATCCCCTCACGGTTTGGAAGGGCGGGGCTAACGTGGGGTTACGTCATTTCTTAAGGGGCCCTTTAATAATAACAATAATCATAACAGAGGAAAAATTAATCGCGTTCGACGCGTGCGTCGCCGCCGGCCCGCCAAAAACCACCAGGGCCAAAAATCCAGATTTCTCACGTAGGCGCTTGCACGGGGAGGCAGGGGGGAAACCCACTTCCGCTTCTTTCCCGCCCCCTTGGAGGCGATTGGTCGAAGAGCTGCAGTAAGGCGGAAATGCAGCATGATCGACGCGAGGCGGGACCAATGAGTCGGGACGCAGCTAGCTGGTCTCTTCGACCTACCCTCGGGGTTGCCATAACAATGACAGCAGCTATAGCCGGAAGGGGCGGGACACTGGCCAACGTCCCTCAGGCTGGAGGCGCCGGGCGGATTTGAGGCTTCCGCGGAAGACGTTGTGCGCTGGCCGAAGACCTTGAAGTCCAGGAGCTGTTCCTGGACACCGTTGGAACGACCTGCGTAGTGGAGTGAAAGCTGGACCCCCTCCTTGGTTCCCTTCGACCTGCAGGTGAAGGAGGAGGCCTTGTTCCCGCGGGGTTTTAATGAAAGGCCTGGTGCCGCGCTAGTCTTACCGGGGATATTTTCTCTCTCTCTCTCTCTCTCTCTCTCTCACACACACACACACACACACACACACAACAAACACACACACCTTGCGAGTCTCTCCTGATATGATGTTTTGAGAAAGGAGGGGGCGCGGAAACTGCTCTTCGCTTCTTCCGTTCCTGCCTGACTCTGTGGGGAGTCTGTGCGTTTTTTATGTAGTGATTAGATGTCTGAGTGACAGCTGCAACACTCATGCAAGCCAGTAGTCTTAGTTTGCAGTAGCCTTTAGTAATAAAAGAAGTTATGCGTTCCAGCAAGCTTCCGTGTTGTTTATACTCTGCATGAGTCTGGTGCTCACAATGCACAGTTGTGAGTCCAGTGAACTTAGACCTGCTTTCCAGGATTGGAAGGTCTCTGGAAGTTCTCCAGTCGTCTAGCCCAGTTGGGGCAGAACCAGTTATTGAGCCTAGTCGCTGGCTCCGGCTCAAAGGCATACAGTGGTACCTCGGGTTACAGACGCTTCAGGTTACAGACTCCACTAACCCAGAAATAGTACCTCAGGTTAAGAACTTTGCTTCAAGATGAGAACAGAAATCGTGCTCTGGCAGCAGGAGGCCCCATTAGCTAAAGTGGTGCATCAGGTTAAGAACAGTTTCAGGTTAAGTACGGACCTCCGGAACGAATTAAGTACTTAACCCGAGGTACCACTTTACTGGCAGGTGTAACTACCTGCATGAATTAAACAGGTTGCATGTGGTCTTAATGGTTAATTGCTTTTTTATTATTGCATTCCCCACCCCGGTTTTTAGGTGTTCTTATTTTTATCTGTAAGCCGCCTTGAGTCCTGGCCAAGGGAAAAGGTGGGTTATAAATACATAATAATGTAAGGTAAAAGGTAAAGGACCCCTGGATGGTTAAGTGCAGTCAAAGGTGGCTGTGGGGTTGCGACGCTCATCTCGCTTTCAAGCCGAGGGAGGCGGCGTTTGTCCGCAAACAGCTTTCCAGGTCATGTGGCCAGCATGACTAAACCGCTTCTGGCGCAGTGGAACACCGTGACGGAAACCAGAGCGCATGGAAACGCCATTTACCTTCCCGACGCAGCGGTACCTATTTATCTACTTGCACTGGCATGCTTCCCAACTGCTAGGTTGGCAGGAGCTGGGATAGAACAACGGGAGCTCACCCCGTTGTGGGGATTCAAACTGTTGACCTTCCGATTGGCAAGCCCAAGAGGCTCAGTGGTTTAGACCACAGCAAAGAGAAAGTTCCCTGCTCTTTCTAAACTCTTGGTTGTACTTGGTGGAGAAGCACTTGTTTTGAGCTTGCGAACTGTCTGAATGAGAGTCAGTGGAGGGCGGGGCTCCTGCACACATATACGGTACTCTGTATCCAGTGCTTTTCCCCCCTAGAAAAAGAAAGTTGTTACAGTAAGTGCCACACTTTTTAACAAAAACAAGAGGTTCTGGTACTGTGTACCCTTGAGTACCCCCTGAAAAAAAAGCACTGTCTGTATCTTTCAGTGTATTAAACCAAACTTTTCCTACTGCCTAGTGTGTGACAAGCTCTTTAAAGAACAGTTAAAGTTGTTTATCGTAGGGATGTCCTGGCTGCATGCAAAAGGTTCCGCTCTCCTCAGTAGTGTTTCCTGGGCCTGTGGATGTTGTTCAGATGTCCATCTTGTAACTGCATAGATGGGTTATTTGTTCCAAAGGTAGGGAGGAAATGTCCTAGTTCTTCAGAAAGAAAGTTATGCTAAATAATGCGCTGTGAAACCCCAGAAGATCATTAGGGGGTAGTTTTAATATTACTTAAAAACTATGATAAAGTAACATTAATAATTCTGCCATATACCCTCTGAAACGCTTTTGCATACTCCCTGGGGGTTCATGTATCACACTTTGGGAAGTACAGTGGTACCTCGGGTTACAGACGCTTCAGGTTACAGACTCTGCTAACCCAGAAAAAGTACCTCGGGTTAAGAATTTTACTTCAGTATGAGAACAGAAATCGTGTGGCAGCAGCAGCGGGACACCCTATTAGCTAAAGTGGTGTCTCAGGTTAAGAACAGTTTCAGGTTAAGAATGGACGTCCAGAACAAATTAAGTTCTTAACCCGAGGTACCACTGTATGGCCCTAAAGTGATGCACCTCTTCCCAGTTTTGTATCAACCCTTAAGTCCTGAAGAGCAAACATGGGTGTGGTTCCCTGATTGTGCCTGGTTGCTTGTGTAGTTGAGGCAGCCCTGACCTGCAGGCCAATTTCTAGCCAGTTGCTCATGCAAATTATGAAGTCTTAGAACCATAGAATTGTAGCGTTGGAAGGTACCCCAAGTGTCATCTAGTCCAACCTCCTGCAATGCAAGAATCTCATCTAAAGCATCCATGACAGGCGGCCATCCCAGGGTCATTTGTTCAAATTGAACAATATGCAGTTTGCAAGTCCAGAATTTTACAGAGATGCTTAATGTTTAGAAATCATCAGTTGATATGTTCTCAGTGGGTAGAATGTTCATGTGTCTTGGTGACTGAATAATCTCTCCTGCTTTGTGATGGTAACACACCTCAGAAGTAAGGGCTTATCTATACTTAGCTTTCCTCCGCTCTTGCCAGGCACGGTCCATGCTTTAAAGCTCCAAGCGCTTCCCCCCCCCCCTTTCTCTCTGGAGCTTTCCCTGCGAAAGCCTGCCCTTTAAAGCTCAGTCAGAGCAAATGGCAATCAGTGAAAAAACTAAATTGATGTTTGCTCAGGTTGAGCACTAAAAAGTGGGTCTTCGCAGGGAATGCTCTGGGGCAAAAAAACCCCCAAAACCAAACCGAATAACAAATATGGAGCTTTTAAATGTGGATCTGTGCCTGGATAGTAGGGGGGAATGTGTGGATAAGTCCTAAAAGGGAGTGGCAGCTGTAGCCAAATTCTGTATTTTCAGTTTTGGAGGCAGAGAGAGCTGTGGGTAAGTTGCAGTAGAAGCATTCTTGGGAGGCTGTGGCTCCCTTTGGGAACTTGGTGCACAGTCAGCAGGCTTTGTGACCCTGCTACACCGCTGCCTGCTTTCACCAGGCACTACTTGCAAATTGCATAAATTGAATATTACAAAGACACCCAGAGGACTTATTCACACCTCTGCTTGCCCCACCACTTTCCCCCGGGGAAACACGATCTTCAGCACTGAATCAAAACAAACCGCAATTGGTTTTTCCATGGATTGCTATTTGCTCCAATTCAGTGCCAAAGAGCTGCTTTTCTGGGGTAATGCAGCAGGGAAAAGGCAAAACCACTTGGATCCATGCCTAGAAAATGAAGGATGAGCAGAAAACTGCTTGGGCCTGTGCTTTCCAGGCATGGAGAATTGGAGGTGTGGATGAGCCCTAAGTATCCAGTACTCTTCCCATCAAAGGAGCCATGCTGTAGTGCAGTGATAGTGAGCCCGTGGTCCTCCAGATGTTGTTAAATGCAACTCCCATCAACCCTGACCATTGACTATGCTGGCAAAGGCTTGCAGGAACTGGAGTTCAACCACAACAATGTTACAGGTTCCCCAGCTCTGCTATAACATGATCCCTGCAACTTCTCACAGTTTGGTGGCGCGAGTGAGTAACAATACTATACAGTTGGAACAGATGCAAAATGTTCACTCCAATCAAGCCATAAAACCACACTGTACTGGCAAGCCAGGAGGGCTGGTGAACCTTGCACAGAATTCCTGTCTCTCTTGGGTCAGGAAGTTAAGAATAATGAATTAAAATGCAGCTCCTAGTACAAAGGCAACATAGATATGGTTGATAACTGCCCTAAAATGTTTGTACTCTGCAGCTGAAACCATTTTCATAATAAGCAGGCCAAGAAACATAAAGGAAAGTTTAGAAAATTTATTAGTGTGTGTTCTTTTTTCCCTTTGAAATACCAACACAAAACGCAGCAGCAACAGATGTATGGAAGTAGCCTTGCTGGAGTCAGATTCAGGCAACATTTAT